ATGGCCAGAGGGGTTCTGTTGGTTTCTCTTCTGGGCCTGTCTGATAGCCGGAGGCTTCGGGGAAGATGTCTGGCTCTGTTGATTTGTTTCTTTATTTCCTCGTGAGGGTATCGTAGTTTTGAGAATGCGTGGTGAGGGTCTTGGAGGTGTTGGTCTCTGTCTGAGGGGTTGGAGCAGATGCGATTGTACCGCAGTGCTTGGCTGTAGACGATGGATCGTGTGGTGTGACCGGGGTGGAAGCTGGAGGCATGAAGGTAGGCGTAGCGGTCGGTGGGTTTTCGGTATAGGGTGGTGTTAACGTGGCCATCGTTTATTTGTACGGTGGTGTCTAGGAAGTGGACCTCCCGTGTAGATTGGTCCAGGCTGAGGTTGATGGTGGGGTGGAAGCTGTTGAAATCATGGTGGAATTCTTCCAGGGTCTCCTTCCCATGGGTCCAGATGATGACGATGTCATCAATATAGCGTAGGTAGAGAAGGGGCATGAGTGGACGAGAGCTGAGGAAGTGTTGTTCCAGGTCAGCCATAAAAATGTTGGCATATTGTGGGGCCATGCGGGTGCCCATAGCGGTGCCACTGGTCTTGAGGTATATATTGTCACCAAATTTGAAATAATTGTGCATGAGGATAAAGTCACAGAGCTCAGCAATAAGTTGTGCTGTGTCATCATCAGGGATACTGTTCCTGACAGCTTGTATTCCATCTGTATGTGGGATGTTTGTGTAGAGAGCCTCTACATCCATGGTGGCTAGGATGGTGTTTTCTGGGAGGTTCAACCTGAAGCAAATATCACCAACAACTACACACCACTTAAAAGTGGCAATTCTTCAACAAGAAAACTTCAAAAACAAACTCCAATGAGAAACTGCAGAACTGGAGTTAAACTGCAAACTGGGAGTGGATGGGTCACTACAAAAACTAAAAACTAATTTCCCCATGCTAATTTCCCCTTACTGTTACTCACACCTTCTTGTCAACTGTTTGAAATGAGCCACCCTGATTACCACTACAAATGTGATTTTTTTTTTCCCTCCTGTTGATAATAGCCCACTTCCTCTTTAATTGAATTGTCTCTTTAGAACTGACGCCCCACTTGGTAAGGCAACTCCCATCTTTTCATGTACTGTGTGTATATATATTCTGCCTACTGTATTTTCCACTCCATGCATCTGATGAAGTGGGTTTTAGCCCATGAAAGCTTATGCCCAAATAAATGTGTTAGTCTCTAAGGTGCCACAAGTACTCCTCGTTGTTTTTGCTGATACAGGCTACCACTCTGGAACACGTCATGGTGCTAAATGTTTAGGACACTTAGTATTTTGCACTAATACTACTGAGACTTTGCTTGCTGGTTCTGTCATCTAGATAATCTTTTAGGCCATTTACACCTCATGTATAACAACTTACATGTTAGCAGCATCGCATCTTAGCCAGTGAGTGGTAACCATAAGGTGTTCTACCTTAAGCAAGGCTTGCTGTACAGAAAAGGAAGAAAATTGAGGAAAGGAAAAGCAGCCTTCTATCCCTGCAAGACAACTAACCAAAAATGCTTAAGCACTAGAACAACTAGCTGCATTGAGGGGGGGAAGCTTGCTCAAGCCACTTCTGCCCTTTTGTGAGCTGTGAATTCAGTCAGAATTTAAATGCAAATCTACTCTCCACCTCTGAAATACAATTGCTCTGGTAGACTTCCACTGGTATGTGGAGAGAGCAAGTAAAAGGAAGCCATAATGTAATCTATAGGCCTTTTCAGACATCACTTCTACTTATGTAAACACTTGCCCATCTTTTGAATGAATGTTCATAAAACACTTTTGAGATTCCCAGAGGCACTCCACTAGTGTATAAAAATATTAGGATATCTCCACTTTTCTGTATTCTGAATCAGAAATGAGAAACACTTCTCATTTTATAAGAGTTGGTAACTTAAGAAGCAGGACTCATAACTATTCTCTGTCCAGAGAGCTGGGAAGATGGGGCTATGCTTGATAACGAAAACATGACTTTTTGGTGAGGAACTCTGCTTTTCATAACCCTTGATTGGATTGTTCTCACAATCAGATTTTTTTGATTACAGATTAACATGATGTTGGCAAATTTGTACAAGAAGGCAGGTCAAGAACGCTCATCTGTTACCAGTTACAAAGAAGTGCTGAGACAGTGTCCATTAGCACTCGATGCCATACTAGGTAGAGACTTTTTCCCCACCAAGTATCTAATATTAAAAATTACATCAAGCAACATTATCATTAAAATATGAGATGTGTAAAACATATTCGTAAACTAGCTCATTTGCATGCAGTACAGGCTGCATGCAATCTACAAGTTGTACAGGAGCATTGTAGCTAACTGCCTGTATAAATTCAAAGGCATGGGATTCTCCATCTTTAGACATTTTAACTAATTTGTATGACAAACTGTTTTGGATACTTGGATTTGACTAGTGTATTTTTCTGAATAGGTTTGCTGTCACTTTCAGTAAAAGGGGCAGAAGTGGCTTCCATGACAATGAATGTTATTCAAAGCATCCCTAACTTGGACTGGCTTTCAGTGTGGATCAAAGCATATGCATTTGTGCACACTGGAGATAATACTAGAGCAATCAACACCATCTGGTAAGAATCAAGGTGAATTAAATTACTGTTCTTGAGTCACTACTTCACATAGTGTTGTGACAGATTTAAACATGCTGTTTGGCACAGCATGATGCCTATTTTGTACTGTTGAGGACCTTGCAGTTGATCTGTAAACATTGCTTGGATTTTGTCAGATGCTAAACATAATAAAGTTTTTTTCCTGATTGGGGAAAAGTCTTGATTTGGAAAACTTTAAAAAAGAAAGCGTAACAATATTTTTAGACTTGCTATCCATTTTTATTATGATAATGTTAAGGTTCTGACAAACTATAAAAAATCAGGACATTTTTCCTTACTGGTCTTGGATTGTACCTAAGGTTCAGAGCATATAGAGTAAATAATATCTGAGATCTTTGCAAGATCTGGGTATTCTGTGAAGAAAGCTCCAATTAAAGTAAATAGTTCTGCAAAGGCTATAAACTCTTACAAAGTACCTTCTCTTCCCCATGAATCTCCTTAGACCAGAGTGCTTAATTTTAAAATACAAAGTTGTTTTAATTTACCGAATTGAAAAGAAGCTTCTTAAATTACAATCTTTTTGTAACTGAAAACACAAGTGCAGCTACTTTTGAAAACTGACCGCTGGAAACTAGTTTAAACTTTTTGTGACTTAACTGTACATTTCTAGAACATGAATGAAAACTGAGAACCCCTTAATGATGCTGTGCTGTTGGTGCAATTTCTTTGCTCAGATGCTCTTATAAAAGCTACAAGTTTCAGTCAATGCAAGTAAACCTAACTAGGGCATGAAGTTTAAAAAAACCTATTTCCTTTTGGATGTCTATTGCATTGTGCTTTACTTGAAGCTGTGTTTGAAGTCCAGCTGGTGTAGATTCCTAGTGTCTGTCTCCTAAATCAGTGGTTCTCAAACTTTTGTACTGGTGACCCCTTTCACATAGCAAGCCTCTGAGTGCAACCCCTCCCCCCCATAAATTAAAAACCCATTTTTATATATTTAACACCATTATAAATGCTGGAGGCAAAGCGGGGTTTGGGGTGGAGGCTGACAGCTCACGACCCCCCATGTAATAACCTCATGACCCCCTGAGGGGTCCCGACCTCCAGTTTGAGAACCCCTTTCCTAAACTATCATTGCCTGGGGTTAATGGTGTGAACTGGCTACCTTGTTTGTGGGTGCACCTCAAGTGCTGGTGACTATCTGTAAAGCCCTGCATGGGTCTAAGACTACAGTATTTGAGACACCCCCATGCCCAGTTTATCATGCCAGGGAAGATTATCTAGGGTGCAGCTATTTATTTCTGGCATTGAACTCTGGGGCTGGCAGCAAGATATCTTCAGTAGAGGGTCCTTGCTTCAGAACTCTCTCTCTCTCTCTCTCTCCCAGTTTGGTAGCCTTCAAGGAACAATGTAAGTTGTATGTATGTCATCAAATAGTTTTTTTTTGGATGAGTGTTCAAATGGACTGAGCGTCAGGTAACAATATAGATGATACCAGGTCTTGTGGTAACTGTAGGTCTTTAAATGAATGACACTTAAAATCATAATTTTACAAGTGTATTTGAGAGATAATTTACAGGTTCCAAAGAGTTTTAGCGTTCAAACAGTACATAACAAGGTGCTAGTTTAAATGGCATTTCTTTTCTCTTAAAGCTCATTAGAAAAAAAGTCTTTACTGAGGGATAATGTGGATCTATTGGGTAGCTTAGCAGACCTGTACTTCCGAGCTGGAGATAATAAAAACTCGATTCTGAAATTTGAACAGGCACAAATGCTGGATCCTTATCTGATAAAAGGTAAGTAATTGTAAATTCTCAAAGTTGCCCTAGCATGCTAACCCCTTGAGTGACACTAGCACAGCAGGTGCATCCAGTTCACATTCCACTAAAGGCTTAGAACAGCTACATAATTATTTATCAGCATAGCAGGTGCAGAGTTTCTGTCCATACCCAGAAGCAGTTGGAGGCAGTCATAGTATAAAGTGGGTGTTTCTTACACCTCATTAAAAATTACAGTACTTCAAGAAGTTAGTATAGCTGTACAACAGGCTATCCAAAGAGGAACATAGTACTAACAAATTTAGTTTAAGAAACTTGTGTGTTCTGTTTGTCCTTCGGAATGAACTATGTCTTTATTGTAAACTGTCTGGAATTCTTCATGCTCTCGTTTTATACCTGTTTTTTCTTGATTCCTCCTCCACCTTTAAGGTGAAAGCGCAGAGTCTGGTGCTCAAACTTAGTCCCAAAGCATGTATCCTAGCTACTCCTAGCGCATACAAGTGCTGTGAAATCACTGGCCCTTATGGTCAAGTTCCATTGTGACCTTAAATCTTCATAAAGCTTTTAAGGGTTATAATTAGGAGCTCAGCAATAATACAACTGATCCCAAAGTGTTTCATTTTTAGGAATGGACGTATATGGCTACTTATTGGCACGTGACGGTCGACTGGAGGATGTGGAGAACTTGGGCTGCCGTCTTTTCAATATTTCTGATCAGCATGCAGAACCGTGGGTGGTGTCAGGGTAACTTCCATTTACTTTTCACTTCCTCGCATGCACTGGCTCCTTAGCTAACCTGTCTTAGGAGCTTGAATGTGTTTGTGGCAATGTGTTCAGGTTTCATTAGTTTGGAAGCTGTACTTATCCTGTGAGTCTGCTGTTCTACTTAAACATTTAGTTCTTGGTCTAACTTTAAAATATCTTACTAGATACATATTAAATCTTTCAATCCTCTTCTGGCTGTATTTAAACACCTTGGAGTTGTTGGGTCTATCAGATAACTAATGTTGCTGTAACTAAGTACCTGAATCACCAGTTTTGTTAAAGGCTGATAAGCATCATATTTTGTTAATATCTTTTAAAGTAACTGTGCATGCTATAAATCCATCAGTTGCTTTTCTTTTCAGCTTTCCATGAATGACTTTTGGTAGTGCACACTTATCACCATTGCTCTTCTTTTTGTAGGTGTCACAGTTTCTACAGTAAGCGATACTCCCGTGCCTTGTATTTAGGAGCCAAAGCTATTCAACTGAATAGTAATAGTGTTCAAGCTTTGCTGCTGAAAGGGGCTGCTCTTAGAAATATGGGACGAGTACAAGAGGCAATTATACATTTCCGAGAAGCAATACGTCTTGCACCTTGCAGGCTTGACTGTTATGAAGGCAAGTAAAGTCCAATGACTCTTGTATACAATTTGATAGGGCTCTGGTGTACAATGGTGTCATGGTATAGGAAGAGTATAAATTGCCTCCCAGAGTTCCCTGCAGGTGAAGTAACATTGCTTACTACCTAATAGGTTAATTAGTGATATTGGAAAAACCCACTAAATAGAGCTGGAAATAGGGAGAAGAGGGGGAAATATTAGACATTAAATGCATGCTTCTTAAACAAAAATAGCTGAATTTGATGTACTGAGAAGCATGCTTATTAAACTCTGATGCAGTCTCTGTAAACAGATTGTTAGTATGCCAGTGTGTAAATATTAATGCACAGTAACCTCTTCTTTTTGGTCTTCAGGCCTCATTGATTGTTATCTGGCATCCAACAGTATCCGTGAAGCAATGGTTATGGCTAACAATGTGTACAAAACCCTGGGAGCAAATGCACAGACGCTTACTCTGTTAGCAACAGTCTGTCTTGAAGATCCAGTCACACAAGAGAAAGCAAAAACCTTATTAGATAAGGCACTGACACAGAGACCGGATTACATTAAAGCGGTGGTAAAAAAAGCGGAGCTTCTTAGTAAGTTTCTTTTCTTTGAGATGTCTCTTCCCTGTCCAGTTTATTTGAATCATATCTTACGTGAAAGTGAGTGTTCCACAAAGTCACGAATATGAAAAACACTATACAAATGTTACAGCCAAAGACTGATCAGTTCTGTGTAAAAGAAAAATTACAGGATGCCTTAAGATATGAATTGCTTAGATATTACAGTGATTGGCACTACAGTAATGCTTCAGATGGAAGAAATTATAACTTACTGATTATTTAAGAGACAATCATGTATGCATTGATTTGGTTTAAAATATAACACTTAGAGCAAGAACTGTGTTTTCAGAAGATTTAATTATCACCAACTGCAGATGGTTTTAGCAATAAAGATGAGGATTGTGATAGTGTTTTAGATCATCCACAAAATAACTTGAATATATATCTAAGCCATTTAATAGAACTGTAGCTCTGCATGTCAACAGGTAGAGAACAGAAATATGAAGATGGAATAGCTTTGTTGAGGAATGCACTGGCCAATCAGAGTGACTGTGTTCTGCATCGAATACTGGGTGACTTTCTTGTAGCAGTCAGTGAATATCAAGAAGCCATGGACCAGTACAGTATTGCCCTAAGGTAAAACTTGTAGACCCTTGGGTTTTCTGTATGCTTCTTAGAAACTAAGAATTGCATGACTGCTGTAAGATGGCTTAGTACATCTTCAGTCACTTCTGTGGGGGGCAGGGGGTTTGGTTGGTTGGGTGTTCCCTCTCTCCCCCCCCCCTCCCCCAGCGCGCGCACACTATCAGTGAATTTGGGATTGTCTACATTTGAAGTGCTACAGTGGTACAACTGTACTGCTCTAGCTGTACTGTTGTAGCACTTCAGTGTAGACACTACCTATGCTGACGTGAGGGGTTCTTCCGTCAGCCTAGCACTGTCTACACAGGGGGTTAGGTCAGCTTAACTATGCTGCTCAGGGATGTGGATTTTCACACCCCCTAAGGGATATGTAATTAAGGCAGCTTGATTTTTCTAGCGTAGACCATGTCTTACTCTTTGTGTCTTATGTACTACTATTCCCAATTCAAAGTCTCAAGGACAAACATTTACAATTGTAAACTTGTGTTAATGTTCAGTATCTTACCAGGCAGTCAATTGCTAGACCAATAAGAAGGATTAAGGCATGGATTTGTTTATAATTTCTTAAACTGTTCTATACTCTGTCAAGCACCTTGGGCTCCACCTTTTAGGCTGGAAGGTGCTGTATAAATGTAAGGGATTAACTAAATTTAAACGGAAAGGTTTTGATGTTCAACTGAATCAATGTTTCTTCTTACAATAAAACAGGTCTCTCAAACTCAAATAGAAAAGAATTATTTCAAACTTGGGTACAATTTAGCATGTTTCAGAATAAGATGCCATATTTCCTAATAAAAAATCTTATGTTCTCTGCATTATTAAAAGTTAAATACCCATCTTGAATCCAACACCTTGTTATACCTACAAACCTTATAAACTGTAAGGTCAGGTAGGTTGGCTATTTTTGCCTGGATGGAGGTGCAGGAACAGTGTTTTTAGTGCTAGTCACTTAAATTGGATTAATCTGTCTTCTGTTGCTTTAGTTAGTATTGCCTAGAAGAATTGTGTAAGCTTCATTGGGAGGTTCATAGTGTTCAGACAAGTGCATTCTCAACGGTTAGGAATTTGTATATAGGTGATGTAATTGGTGTTAATCGTGCTCTTCCATCTTTTGTCAACTGGTTATAACGTCAGTCTGAGGTAAAGTTGCAACATCTTTGAGTTCAAATATCGGTAGCAGTAAACAGGAAGTGGAGGAAGCAAGATGGAGTTGTTTTGATTAGACATATTTCTAATGTTTACTACCTTAAGTTTGAGTAACCCTTTTTTCTCCCCCAGTTTGGATCCCAATGATCAGAAGTCTTTAGAAGGAATGCAGAAGATGGAAAAAGAGGAGAGTCCAACAGATGCAACCCAGGAAGAGGATGTGGATGACATGGAGGGAAGTGGAGAAGAAGGGGATTTGGAGGGCAGTGATAGTGAAGCTGCACAGTGGGCAGATCAAGAACAATGGTTTGGCATGCAGTGATATGGGTTTCAGTTCTTGAATGTGCCCTGAGATCCATTGTTCTCTGAAGGAAGAACGTCCCCTGCAATTTTCATATTAACAAAGTGGACTTTATAAAAACAACCGACTCTGAAACCTTTTAATAATTCTCTGCATCACAGTTCTGTTCATTTTTGTGATGCTTACTATTTATCAATTACAAGATTGAGCTGAACCAGGCTGGAGATTTGTAGGAGTGGCTTAGTCTTTTCTTGCTAAAGCTAGAATCTTGAGTATAAAGCATTTCATACAATGTACCTATTGCTAGTGACTAAAATGTCAAAATTGGGTTCAAAACTAAGTAGTCTTGATCCTTAGCTATAGATGTAAATACAAGAGTTTTTTATTCCTTTGTGAAAGGCTTTATTCTTTTGTCTGGGCTCATGCTTGAATTCTTGTGGAAGCTTGTGGGAGTCACTTGTATGTATTTGAAGGGAGCAATTTTTCCTCTCTCTTCAGCCAATTAACCTGTTTGGTGTAAGGCATTGCACTAATTTTGAAGGTGGAATTTGTATCTCCAGCATCCCTGACATATAGGATGCTTTGTAACTAATCAGTTTTTATGTGTAAAGAATAGTCCAATGTTAGAATTATAGTAATTTCCCCAATCCATACAAAGCCCCATAATCACTTAACCTGTATGTGAACATTTACTTCTAAATAGAGTTCAGTTTTATTTAGGTAAGTTACTAAAAGGCCTTACAACAGCAGTGACACAAAGCCACTTCACATCCTGTCTGTGGCACAGTCAGTTTAATTTTTTTTTTTTTTAAACTTCTCCATTGCATCACTAGTAGAAATTTTAAATTAGAATGGCTGTCTTGGCTTTCTTTATATTTTACACTTAAAATTTAGCTTTACCTATTGAAAATAGAATCTCGTGCTATCACCTACTAAAACGATACTGAATTGTCCACAGTAGAAATTGTCCACAGTGGGCATCTCTTATTAAAAGTAAATCTTTCATTGAAACCAGAAAACCAAACAAAACTATTTCTGTGGCACTTAGATTTTGCAAGAGAATTACCCTTGTCTTAGTGTTTCACTCTTGATTTACTTGCTTCTTGCTAAAACATATGTCTTTATTATGCTTTCTAATGGTGCTATAGTTCACATTGTCTTCAGTCCATGGTTCTGCATAGCTTTGTAATTCTGCCTGTGGCTGCTCAAGTCTATTGTACTGTTCAGTGCTGTCCTAGCTGCTGAAGCAGAGGTTGACTGACTGGTTTTTGTACTGGAACTTTTTGATACTCTAGGGCAAATTCTTGACACACACAAAAGAAAACAAGCTTTTCACGAACTATAGTAGCATAGCAAATACAAAAATAAAATACATTCCCAAAAGCATACATAAAAATACATGTTAAAAGGAGGGGACGCTTAATCTTATAACACATTATAGCCTGTTGGTTTTGAGATGTTTAGCATGTGTAAGCATTAGAGTCTGGATAGCTTCTTCCTGTTCATAGCCAGACAGCTATCCAGAATGGATAGTCTCCTCTTTCCAGTCTTTTAGCTGTGTTTGAGGGTGGGGGAAACCACTAGCTTTTCTCCAGTGTCAATTGAATTGCACTAAAGTAATTGAAAAATAAGCAGGCAGGTAGCCTGCCTTACTGTCTATTATCGATGGTCTTAATTAAGAAATCTGTTGGTTTATTATCTCATTTCACTAAATAGTGTGCAATCCAAATGGACTACATTTAAATGAAAATCCTATTTAGGTAGCTGCTCTCTGAAATTGTGATCAGTACCCTTCCTGGCTCTAGTCTACTTCATGAAGATTTCAGCTGTTTGTCATTCAGCAGTGGATGGTGATAGGTTTCAACTCTTTTCGTGTTATTAATTCTTTACAGAAGGAAACTGTAAAAACCAAACTGTTCCTTTTGCAATCTGTCTGTTTCTTCCTTTCTCTGCAATAAACCTCAAAATCTGTGCTGCTTCTGAAGGTTAACCTAGGTAGGCTGATCCAAGTCTCTTAATTGTATGTCAGACCCTAGTTGTGAAGATCATAAGGGAGCATTTAATACTTGTAATCTGAAGTAAAGCAAAAAGGCATTGTGTGTTTAAAAGCTGCCGAGAGTGTGTGGGAGGCATATGGTGTATGTTTTAAATTGGCAGCTGCTCAGCTGAGGGTTTTTACTTCAGATGACTCATTCAGATGCCCCTAATCAGAGCTGCTCTTATAGCTTCCAGCTTTGTTAGCACCACGCATTGCAACACTTCTTTCTCTCTAAAGCAAGGTTTATGTGGCACAAGAAACCTGAAGGCTGGAGCCCAATCATAGAATGGTTCAGAGTGTTTGCAGGTAGGAAAGTGTGAACACATGTCTGTTAGTTTTCTCACCTTAGGCTACATCTAACCAAAGAGAATGATCTAACTATTGAATAGCTACAGCAAGTGCTGTGAATGATGAAGAGTTTTGAAAACCTTTATCCTGTAGTAGCATAAACCAGCTCCTGCAGGCTGGTCCTTTCATTTCACGCAAGGCCCAGCCTTGATCCCCTTAGTAATTGATGGAAGGAACCCAATTAAATGTTAGGGAGAGGTAAAATTAGATTGCATTTTTGCTTATTTTAAAGTAGGATCTTGGCATCCATATACAAGCAAATTGTTATTGGGTAAGACTTCTGTTAAGACAGTCTCTTTGACAAGAATGGAGACCAGAGTTCAAGAGGAGTTTCTGCTGTAAAAAACTTCCTTGTAGATTTCCTTTATGGGCAGCTGTGGAAAGCTTAATTTAGACTCCTTTTTACATCCAAGAATAAAACAACGTCAACATCCAAGAATATGGCCCCCTGTTTTTTGAGAGAGAGCGCGCTCTGCTCATTATCTAAAATATGAAAAGCTCAGCCAGATTCTGCAGTAATGGGTACCTCTGTTAAGGCATTTAATAATGGTAGAGCTGTATTGATCGTATCATTTCTATGAGTTTGCTAATGAGTGTACTGTGGATGGATATGGAATTATTTTAAAGAATATTTTAACAGGTTTATCTCAATTCTAAGGGAATCCTTGGTCTATTAAAGACCCTTCATTAACAGTCTAATTTTAGAATGTGAGCTGTTTTTACAACCTTGTGCTCCTGAATCCTGTGATTTGTTCCTAGTTTAGGGAATATAGTTAACACAATTAGCCCATAACAAGTAGTTGTCGTCATTCAGTACCTTAATCCTTTGCTGTGTACACCAAGAGATAATGAAACCCAAAATTAAGCTCAACCCATGTCAAGAGTGCGATGTAAACTCCCTAAACCGATGCAATTCATAGGTGAGGTTGGAATGTCATAGCTACCCAACTGCTTTTTGCAGATTATCTACTCTTTCAGACCACCTGCAATTGCTAGTCTCTAGTAAAGGGCAAAGAAAATCTGCGTATTTGCTTAAAGTCCTTGCTGTTTGACATTAAATCACAAACTTCATTAACATCGCATTTTACTGTGGTGGAAAGACCCTGCTATGATGCGAGGAGACCAAAGTTCCTTCAACCCTAGAGCTCCTCCCCACAGTCGTGTAAGCATTACAAATCTATTTTGCCAGCACCTCAAGGCAGTGTGTGTTGGAGGAGTCAGGCAGTCCTGAAGCTGCCAAATAACAGCTGTCCTGCAGCAAGTTACTGAACCTCTTGCCAAATTTCCCTGTCTGTAAAATGGGGATAGTGCTTATTTCCCTACTGCACAAGGATGTGAGAATTTTAAGCCAAGATTATACAATGATTAGAAAACCATAGGGTGCTATGTAGGTGCTATTTACCCAATTAAAGTGTCATATTCTTTCTACCCTTCCTTTCCTGTCATTCCAAATTATAGAGAGCTCTGTGTAATTAGTAGCTTTCTCCTTAATAATCAGCTTCCTCCATAGGCTTGTTTCACATAGTGATGGTTAAAGCCTTCCCTTTTCATGATTCTGGAGCTGACATTGAAGTTTAAATCAGTCGGAGGAGCAGCAGTGTTTTTGTTACACAAAAAAATCTAGAGGTGGCCTCAAAGGGAATCCCATCAGCTCTGTCTGCATTGGTCTTCTGTGTAGCGTGGGAGCATTTTAACCATCTTGTCTAAACCTAAATTGCAACAATTTAACTCAAAGCTCTTGGTGCCCACCCCTCTATGGACACTTAAACCTAAGTTTATAAATGTACTAACACAAACTAACCAGCTATAAACCAAATGTAAATCAAAGTGAATGTCAATGTTTTCACCAGTTTAACATGCCCCAAGTTAAGTTGGAACAACTCTGTGTGTAGACCAGGCCTAACCTTGCTCAGAGCAGATCTAGGCAATGCTGCACCAGAACACCGATTGGATACAGGCCAACTGTTGCGAGGACTAGTGCATCTGTGAAAATGGGAGACTCAGAATGTCAGTTGCAGTTTGGCTACTGACCGAAGGGAGCGGGATAACTGGTATGTGTTTGGGGCATAGAGGAAGCCCACAGTAAAAAGCATGAGAAAGGTAAGGGGTGGGGTGGGAACAGTTTGTGAAAGCATTTGAAATGTATAGAATTGTTTTTGGCTAGTCCATATCATTCCACTTACTGTTAATATACCTGCTAGTAATAAAATAGGGAGGCTAGGTGGTGTGTGTACTTTGACTTGATGTACTGACCCTTCTGCTTAAGAACATAACATAAGAATGGTCGTACTGTGTCAGACCAAAGGTCCATCTAGCCTAGTATCCTGTCTACTGACAGTGGCCAATGCCAGGTGCCCCAGAGGGAGTGAACCTAACAGGTAATAATCAAGTGATCTCACTCCTGCCGTCCATCACCGCCCTCTGACAAACAGAACTAGGGACACCATTACCTATCCTGGCTAATAGCCATTAATTGACTTAACCTCCATGAATTTATCCTGTTCTCTTTTAAACCCTGTTATTGCCTTAGCCTTCACAACCTCCTCAGGCAAGGAGTTCCACAAGTTGACTGTGCGCTGTGTGAAGAACTTCTTTTTATTTGTTTTAAACCTGCTGCCCATTAATTTCATTTAGTGGCCCCTAGTTTTTATATTATGGGAACAAGTAAATAACTTTTCCTTATTCACTTTCTCCACACCACTCATGATTTTATATACCTCTATCATATCCCCCCTTAGTCTCCTCTTTTCCAAGCTGAAAAGTCCTAGCCTCTTTAATCTCTCCTACTATGGGACCCGTTCCAAACCCCTAATAATTTTAGTTGCCCTTCTCTGAACCTTTTCTAATGCTAGTATATCTTTTTATTTTTGAGATGGGGAGACCACATCTGTACGCAGTATTCAAGATGTGGGAGTACCATGGATTTATATAAGGGCAATAAAATATTCTCCATCTTATTCTCTATTCCCTTTTTAATGATTCCTAACATCCTGTT